AAGAAACACAACTTGCATACATTATATATATTATATTCGTAATGAGAAATACTTGCATATATCCTTCCAAGAAACACAACTTGCATCATTATATATATTATATTCGTAATGAGAAATACTTGCATATATCTTTCCAAGAAACACAACTTGCATTATACTTTTTGCTTACTAACAATAAGAAAATCATGGACGTCGACGGAAATATTTTCGGTAGGGGAGGGGGGGCAAAACATATATGTAGGGGATCAGCTTTTACAGTGTAAGTGAACAGACTAAAAGAATACGTGTGCTTAAACGCAAACACAAATTAACAGTTTTAAGAAAAGTTACTAAAATATTTGGTTTAACTAAGATGTTAAGTTTACGTTATAATACGCGCATTTTTTTTTTTTGTGAAATGTAAGGGGGCAAATGCCCCCTCTAGTCCCTTCCTGCGGGCGCCCATGAAGAAATTATTAAAAGTTTCTGCTCAAAAGTATGCTAGTTATACAGATCGGAACTAAAAAGGAATATATAAAAATTATTGTAGTCAATTATTCATACCAAACTGACTAGAAGAACATAATGTCATAACTCAATACATAAGAAAACAAAAGCTTACATAATGATGAGAATGCACTGATTCATCAATTGGGTACCTTCCCCGTTAAAAAATATTTTCGGCCATAATCCCAGTAATTTCTCACGCCTTTAAATTGTGCTTAACATGAGAAACTCAGCGTGTGAAACAAATTAATATAGAGTTAGCTATACAGCAGATAGGAGTGTGCATTAAGTATTTCCAATAGTTTCTAACTTTAACACATTATATTTCAGTTTAAAAGTTATTGAACGTAATTATAGAGAAAGTAATCATCAGTCAGAACAACCGATTGTTACGCCTCCATTCGTTAGTTAATTTTCCGTAAAAATTATTTCCGAAGAAACTTTAGCGATACAAGTCCTTTCTTAAGTAAAACTGGTTTATTCTTTCTGAATACAACTTTGCAATACACTTAATTTCCACATTCGCGCTATAACAAACGCTATAATTCACAACGAACGTCTC